AGGTTCAACATGAGTACGAATTGTTTTTGTATACATAAAGGAGGTTTAAATTTACGGATGGCACGAGCCTCAATAAATTTAAGCACTCGGCTCTGACCACTTCCATGTAGTACTTTAAAGGCTGTTTTCATGTCTATCCTATGGTTAGTTTCTAGTATATGTTTAGCGATAGACGAAGATGGATGTTTGTCACCTGCACTTATCGAATCTGTTGAGGTCATTTGTTTTGTAGCCACTTAGGTACATGTTCAACCTTCCTTAACTGCATATCACGACTACTCCTCCCTATATATGTGTGTCCACACATACATGTAAATTGATAAACACAGTGGGATGTGATGTAATCGTTGATATGTTGTTTCGGTTTGTGCTGTAACATGGACTTGGTCTTCTCTACAATGATGACCATGGCTGCATAATATGTTTTACAGATAGCTGGTCCAGGCTTTTTCCTCACCACAAAGCTATGTGAATCACCTCTAAATGATAATGAGATGTAGACATTTTTTTAGCAACTGAACACTATGTACTTTTCAATGGTACATAACTTTTGCACCGGTCGATAAATCTCAACGGGTATCCATTCTGTATCAGAGTTGTCGTCAGTAAGTTGGTTTCTTCCTCCCTGGTGTCATCGGTGCAGATACGGTTTATCCTGTTAAATAAGCATCTGACTAAACCACGTTTATATTGGACTGGGCAATAGCTATGGAAATTAAGATATTGCCCTGTCCATGTAGGTTTCCTATTCCTATGTTTCCCATTAACTTCATTGACCTTTTCGTAAATTTTCATATAAATAGTTCGACAAGTTCATGTGTGATCAGATTGTTCGAAATGTATAGCGCTAATACATCACATGTTTCAAATAATCTTCGTCTTCTCATTACGCTGTTTAAATTTATCAAAGGGACCAGTTGCTTTAGAATTTGGATAGTTAGATACAACAGTCTTTGTCCCCAGGTGACGATAGATGCGGTTACTCAATACTTTTTCTGTAAACCGTACTAGAAATTTACATGTTTGCACTTAGACGATAAGTCCTCGAAATCATTCACAATAGTTTTCACTGAGTTGCTTTTAAGATGAGGTCTTAATGTCACTCAATTCTGTAAAGTTCATCAACAATAGAATATCACTAGATTACTCAGTATCTGATCCAACTGGTAAGCATTAAGTTTACAGCCTTCAATAGACAAAAGTTTTAGGATATCACCAAATTTTAAAGGTATTCAGTTATTCATCACATCGAGTTATAGAACTCCATATTTTTTAACTGGGGTTTTATGTGCTAATAGGGTGGATAAGAAACTCTTCGTTTGATTTTTAAGATTTCAGCAACCTATGAAAAAGAAAACTGCAATTCAGACACACCAGTCAGATATTATTGCATTATAAGGAAATCATACTTAGCTATTTATGAACTGAAAACTTATTATAACTAGCGATAAGTAAAAAGTGATCTATAAGTGAAGGGAATATCCTACAGTATCTGAAAGAATTACAACTGACAGCTGTTTACAAGAATCCAGTAAACATATTCATCAGTAAACCAACAGGAAGGAAAATGAACTTGCTGACAGACTCTAGAATTCTAGATATAGCAGTGATTTCTTCTATGACTAGCTTAGGAAGGTTTATTATTATTATATTATTTGTCTCTTGGGTTCCTAGTGGAACATAGGGTTTCACTAGCACGTCTCCATTCCACTCTCTTCTCTGAGATCTTTTGAACCTCGCTCCACGACAGCCCACAACCTCTCATTTCCTCCTCGCACGACCTCCTCCATGTCACCCTCACCACGGACACCCAACTCGTCGCTTCCCATGTGGATTCCACTCGAGCAACTGGCCTGACGTGTGATGTCCCCAGTCGGCCTTCTCAGTGCATGCCCAATCCATCTCCACTTCTTCCTGCATATTTGTTGCGTGATAGGTTCTTGTTTGGTTCGTTCCCAGAGCTCCTTGTTGCTTATTCTGGTTATTCTGGCAATCCATCTGATCTTCAGAAGCGAGCGAGCGTAAGCAGTTGTTGATGAATGTCTGTAGTTTATTGGAAATCCCTTTCGTGACGCACCAAGTCTCTGAGCCATACAGAAGCACTGACTTGACTGAAGTTGGTGTTGAACATCCGTATCTTGTTCCACATGCTGAGTGCAGAAGATCTCCACACTGGTTTCAGGCCAATGAAGGCCTGTCTTGCTTTTCCGATCCTGGCTGGCTTTGACATCCTCGTCTGTGCTTGTGCTGCCTGTAGTTGAGACAGTACTTCCTAGATAGGTGAAGTTTCTCCCGTTGACGGTGACTGGAGTTTGTTGGAAGGTTTAAAATGGAAATATAGCAGAATGAAGTGGTAAATAAAATACGAATCTAAAGAATTCAGGTTACATAGGAGATAGTTAATTTCTTTACACAGTTACTGAGACAAGAAGCTTTTTATTTCACAGCAACAAGATATAAAAGAATCCGGGAATAACCAAAAGTAATAAATAGGCGAAATGAGATAGAATCCAATACGCTGTCAATAATAAAATAGTCCTGAGAAGGGAACAATTAGCCCAATACTTTGATATAAACAACTTTTAGAATCAAATGCACTTAAAATATATGAGTACAAACTGATGACGGATCTCAAATCAGGAATAGAAGACAGTCCATTTTTCCTTAACTTTAAATGTTTACCCAGCTGGTGTTTATCTAAGATAAAATCAGATACTGATTGGTCTTTGCAGAGTGATCAATTTCAAGTTGTTTAATTCTGAGTACTAACTGGATTATAATGATCAATTCTCAATGTGGCCACCAAACTAGCTGACTTACTATCAAGGTGAACTTTGATAGATTTCAGTTAGCTAGAAGAAATCGGCAAAAGCAATTTTTAACACTTATCAACTTACTGCTAACGTAGAAGTTAAATAATCAACTTTTATTTGAATACTAAGTTCCTCTTAACTAAAGTGCTTGTTAGTAGACAAACTCAAAGACTTCTTTTGAAGCCATAATCATAAATATTATGCTAAACAAAAGTATAACTTCAACTGCGATTGTAAGTAAACAGATTCGAATCACTATATATGAAGATTTATTGAATTAACTTTTAACCATGTCACAATTATGCATTAAGTAACCCCAATAAAATCAAAACGCTGTAAGAACATAAAGCTGTGTATAAGAATACGGTAGTGGGGTTGGGCGAAATGGTACGGTCACTAGTAGTAGTAGTGATAGCGTGAGTAGTAGTAGTAGTAGTAGGAGGAGGAGTAGGAGTATGCTTAGTAGCGTGAGTAGTAGTAGTAGTGTGAGTAGTAGTAGTAGTGGTAGTAGTAGTGTGAGTAGTAGTAGTGGGTAGTAATTTTATCAGTTATAGTGACAACATTAGGCGTGGTTAGAATATTAGTAGTGGAAGGAGAGATAACAATAACACTCCTGTTTTTCACATGTTAGCACTGATATTCTTTTTATATAGTTAGTTTTGAAGTTGTGTTAACAGTAATCGTCGATGTAGTCACAATTTTACTTCCATCAATGTTACTATTAATAGCAATTATGTTACTATTACAAGCACTTGAATTTGTAAAACATAGAATGACACTTTTGTTATCTATGACTTTATTCACTTTCTCATGTTCACTTATGATCATACAGGCAAGTTAGTCTGTACTACTTCGATAAGTTATGTTGTTATGAATATCATAGTTACTATAATACTGTTTTCTATCATTGAAATAAATGTACATTTCTATAATATGTATGCCTTTATTTTTAAGTAATATAACAATCTGTATGATTTCCATTATGAAGTCACAATTTTTTTAATCAGGTGACCATTTATCTTACAAACTAGAAACATTTATTGATACTTCTTAGCGATCATTACTTAGCTTGTTGTATGAGGACTGATTAATTAGATCCATCAATCAAACTTACAAAAAGTGACTTTACACTAAGAAGAAATTTAATAAGTAGTTTCAATCATTATCACTTCAACCAATCAGTGTTCATGTTTTAGTCTATGATGTATGTTGTAAGAGACTTTGTTTAGTAGTGTAATAATTATTGACTTCAATACAACTTTCAAAAAAATGGAATCTTGTTAAATCAAAGAGATACACTTATTATTTTATATCGATTGATACAGACAAAAATCATTGAAATTAGTCTCAAACTAATGAGTTACAAATTTGTAGCGGATATGAATAAAACGTTTCTATCAACTTGATTAAAGTTAGGTATAACCTTGAATACTATCAAAATAACTCTGGATTGATTAAATCTAGGGATTTGTGGAGATCTATTGATTAAGCGGTGTTCATCGCATACTGACATCATCTGGAGAACCATTGGAAACTCAGAAGCATTGAACACCTGTCTCGTTCTAGTATAGGACTCCTCAGCAATGGGCCGGAGGTCGAACCAAGGATTCTCAGGTCACGTGACCAGCACGCTACTGTTAAGCCATAGGGTCATAGTTTAATGGTTTACATTTTTTCTATTTCTTTCACTCTTAGATGTTGTCATTCTGATGCCATCAATTAGTTACTGTCCGGACATCCGACTTCCTTTCCCTTGGGCTCTGTCTCAAGCGGGATAACGGATGCACACTGATAAGGATTAGCACACTGGGACGAAATAGCTGTCCAGTGCTCCTAATTTTTCAATAGATCTGAAACTGATATCATTCTGTGGAAGATACCATTTTGAAATTCTAGATTAACTTGGTAATTGGCAAACACACATCATCTTACTTGGAACAGAATTTTAAACCCTTCTTGTATTACCTAGTAACGGTGATGGTAAAGGGAAGTTTTGAACAAAAGTTCATCGGTCTTCAGCTACTACAATTCACAGTGGAATGCAGAGAAGAAGTAGATGGAAAAAGAAAAGCATGGTAGCCATCCGTACTAGGTAGGAATATAAAATCTGGCCACAAGCAATTATTTCTTTAAGCTAGTCAGTGAGTAACATGTTCAGAAATCCTAGTAAAAAGTAGTGATAAGCGGTAATAATTCATTTTTATCTGATCGTATTAAAACTGTTACAAAGTGAACTTAATCAATAGACTTCGGTCAGAGCTAAGCACTTAGATCTAGGCAATTAAACCAGTTATCCACTTGTGACCAGTTTTTTTTTGAAGCCAGGTATATAGGCCGTTCGATGCGACTGTTATCAAATAGGGTTCAAGAGCACTATCCGAAATAATTAAAAAGTGGTAACAATGAAGTGATAAGTAGTGCTGTAACTTAACACATCGTGAACATGAATCACCCTCTCTCAAAAATCTTCTCGTTCAAAGTCGTCACTTTCCAAAGGCTATACATCTTCGTATTCTCTGCATCGCCGAAGTTCTTGCCATCTATATGAAGAAACCCTAACTGTATCCACAAAAGATGATTGTTCAACCCCTTCTCCTTTCACTATCTCAGTTTTCAGTCTTTGAAATCTCCTCTAGCCCCCTCCCCTCCTTTTCTTCTCATTCTTCAATTTTCACACTATTCACTTTTTAAGATTTATCACTACTTTTTTTGTTGCTATCCTTTGTCGGTTCACAATTCACTTTCGTACTATGTCGTCATGTCATGAAACTTCTTATCCACACTTATTTTGATTAATATTCACTACCTATCATAGATTTTTAAGTTTTTCGACTTTAATGACAGCTCATCCATTGACACTATTTATGTTGCCATGCTTGACAAATGGTTTTTAATTATCAAATTCTTACACTAGAAAGTTGTATAAATTTGCGATTGTGCAGCTTTAAAAATGAAATCAACGAAAACAGACTCTTCGCTGAAATACTTGTTTCTCCTTCATCGATTTTGTACTTAATCCAGGCATAAAGATGTTCAATTGCGGTTTAAACAACCAAGTGACAAAGTCTTCAACTTAATTACTAAGTGTTGCTAGATAGAATCCCCAAAGAAGCACTAGTTCCCTTATTGTTGTTGTTGTTGTTGTTGAAATATAGGTCAAATCTCTTTTGCAAACCAACTCCTAACACCTATCAGTGAAATTATGGCAGCGAATGATAAATCCTTCTGTACTACCACCCAGTTGACGTTAAAAAGTATTGACTTTGGAAAACCTAGTCATTATTTCAATAATGAATGAGACCTCGAGATTGCTTTATTTATACGCAGACAAGAGTGGAGGAGTTTGAAAATACAGTAAGTGAATAAAATACACTTTAAACCGTCTGATGCTATGTAAGTTAAAGTAGGTTTCGTTAAATGTCTAAGTAACAGAGCTGGGAAGTTTACCAGTAGGATGGTGAATTTAAGAAAAAAATCAGGTACACTAAAGATACACCATAACTCAGTAATAATCCCTTCCCTAAATCCATCAATAAGAAATTTTAAGAAAAATATGATAGTTTGTTCTGAATGTAGGTTCAAATGAGAATGATGTGTTTGGAAACATAAGTAACAGATAGATGAGTTCATAATCAACACAGGATGATCAGGCATTATTGCGTAATGGTCTAAATGGCCACTTTCCACATCTGTAGATCAAACCAGGCAGCTTTAAAATGAAGGATAAAGGGGTAAAGAAGAATCAGTCAAAAGCAGAAGAGAGTAGCAAAAGAGAGAAAGTAGGAGTAAGAAAACAGTGAATTCAGTATGACGATTAAATCGAGAATAACGTGTGGATATATCTGCTCCGTCGAGACTGATTCTAAGCCATGTCACCCACAGTCTCAGACAACTGATGTCCGTTGGGGCGTGCAATCCAATTGAGAATTCTACATTACCCCACGTGACTTAGACCACCAGTAAAACACTCCATTGATGGATGCCATGTTTTAGTCTAGCCTCCTTACACCCTTTTCTGTCATAAATCTACTTTAGCCTATATTGTGAGACGAAACAGGTGGTGATTAAACATGCAGGATGCATGTCCTAGACACCTCTGTCGATGAAGGTTCAGAATGACATCAATTAACTTTCTTCTCTCTTAAACTCTACTCCTGACTTCTACTTTATGACTTTTGTGACAGCTCCACATACTGTCTGTGCTGCGAAGACAATGGTGTTAGAGCACGTGAAGCTGTCGCATCTCCTCTACCTTAAATGGCCATGTTTAATAACCATACTTTTAGAAGGGAGTGATCTGTACCTCAGTAAACTTGACTTTTAATAGACAGTCGGATTTCATGGGAGGACCAAAGATGATATAATTTGGCGAGAGTCAATCCAGGCTTTTGTATCCGTTCAGAGATTTCATCGGTCACTGATAGACAGATAAACAGACACAGAAATCAATATTGAAACTGGCACTAAACTGTCTCTATTCAATTTGCCACACTTCACAGAGGGATGAGAGAAAGAAGTGGATAGATATACAGTGGTATTAAGTTGCATGGTAGGAGAAAGTGTCAATAGATTAAACTTGATTAAAATGCTCAAGACTTTGAAAATGATATAATGTATACATTACACTAACTTCCAGCCATGTTACTAACAGTTATCTCGTGGACCCCAACCAGGTGGCCTAAATCTCCCTTTATAACTCCTTCCAAAAGTCAAAGACTTTGTAAACTGCTGCCACATCTTGATCTGACCAATCTTAGCCTTCTTCTAAGCCACTTATGCGTAACACCTATCCAAGCCACTTTAGTCACTGAAGGTTCATATGTTCATCAACTAACCTTCTCACCTTGCTCACTTATATTTGAACATAGGTGCAGAGAAACTGATAATTTACAAATACACATTTAAACAAGGTTACCTGTTGGTTTAAACGAGACCCAATTAATTTAAAGTGTTAGTCTGCTGAAAAACTGGACATACCATTTACAGTTTCTTCTGATAGAAACTAATGTCAAGATTCCAAAACTGTTACTTTTTAAAATGAATACTTATGATGATTGCTTGTATTATATCGTCGTTGACGAGACCAGACTGATCGGTCTCTATTGGCACATGGGCTTCTATACGGATGCCTCGATATTACTTGCGTTTTAATTATATATAATAATGATGGTCAGTGGCTCGTTGGTGTAGTGGACAACGTTTTGGCGTTTGAAGTGATCGCTCCCGATTCTAAATCCCGGTGGGAACAACATCACTCACTGAGGAGCAGGTACATTCAGCTGACAAGTCCCAAGTAGGGCGGAACGCACATCCTATTACTATATAATACCTATGAATTATTATTGTTAAGAATGAACTAAAAATCAGCGCAACAATCCTCATTCCATGTATTAATAATGTCATATTAAACATTCAATTACACTTACTTCTAGCAAACAACGTCAAATGACTTTCTAAATCCCGTGATTTCGAACAATTACTCCTATGTTGAGGATATAGAATCTTTAAAGAAAAACAAAAGTGCATTTTATAATTTACTGATCTAATAAAATAATTTATGGAATGATATTAGAGGGATGAGACCAAACGTTATCTTCAGGTGTTATCGTGCTTGTTATAGGATATAGCGTTCTATGCGCAAATTAGCGTAATTTCTGTGTACTGTATGCATATTTTACCTATTTGTATATTTTCAAAAACTCCCTTTGTTATTGAATCATGTTTCATGTCATTTATTCATGTGCAAAGTATTAGTTTCACTTCCACCGCCTGGTTTGGATGTGAGTACATTTATTTACGAGGAATGATGCTTACAAATCAAAGTTAAATGAGCCTTCAAATTACAGTAAAAAGGATTTATGATCATAGTTTTCACTTCAAAATGTATATTCTTATAAAAAAAAAACACCGGTCGAGCGAAGAAATATATATTCCTTTTAAGTCTTTATCTTCGACTCTACACTAATATATAGTTTTATAATTCAATCAAATTACCAATAACACGGTGATCTTTCGGAAATAATGATGTAAATAATCAACAGTTACTAAAATTGGAAATATGAGGCAGGCTATTTTTAGATAAATGGAGTGACTTTTGAAGAGTGTTAAGTCATTCACAATAAGCGATTACGAATGAAACTTGTCTGGGTAGCCATTCCTACTAAGCAAATCACAGATGGTAGCGCACTCTTCCTTTATAGAATCATTTAAGCAAATAACTGTGGCACGGTATGCTAGTCATTTCATCAGGTTCCTAGTATATCGTGCCATGGCCATTTGCCATCATCCGTGATTTGCTTAGTAGGAATGGCTACCTAGACAAGTTTGTAACTAAGCCTATGGATATTCCGAGGGTTAGGAAAAGAACGCCAACAGCTCCTAAGAAGTAAATCTTCTTGAAGCTGAAATTCAAGAGTGATATTGCCAATGAGATCATCACACAGTGCATAAAAAGTCTTGCATAAAGCCCTCCCAGCCGCTAAGTTGTGCCTCATCTTCTACAACCGCTCGATTCCAAGTGCAAGAAATAAAGACAAACTGTCTGATTCTACCACTTCCATGTCCATTTATCAGTTCAACTGCTCCTGTGGAGCTAGTTACATTGGGCGTACAACGAGGCACCTCCATCGTTGAATTTCTGAGCACAACCTATCATGGTTGAGTAAGGAGCAAGCTAGAACAATAAAGTGCTCCATACTTGCACACCTTATTGACACAGGATATCAAGAGGACTACCAGAAAAGCTTTCAAAATCATTCATCGGATTCTAATTAATTTACCACACGGATTACGCACTCTCTCGCTTCATATAGCAGATGCGAATGTGAAGGCACACCAGGCAGACACAACGGATTCATTTTATCAATAAATGGAAGGGTAATCGTTACATATGGTACACCCGGCATTAAATCCGTCATTTGCTTCGTTTTCTCTTCTGTTTCTCTTTTGATTTGCTCTTCATACATTCTTATCAGCGGCATCCACTGTAATACGCCTGCTTTATCCTTTGCGTTGCTGTTTGCAGAATCCTTATCCATTGTTGGTAATTCCCTATGATTCCTGACACCCTCTCAACACATACTACTTATATCCGTTCTTAGCAGCAACGCCCACTTAATGGAAAAGAAATAAATTTCTTCGTTCAATCAGTTTTTTTTTCCAAATGTCTAAGTGGGAATATTCAATGTATTCTTATAAAACACAGAACACTTTAACAACTATGGTATAAACTTCTAGCTTTACCTCATTAGAGATAACAGGATGGATTAAGTAGAATTCATAAGTGGTTTCTATTAAAAGTAGTTCACACATCTCTAAACCTCTCAACAACCCTTTTTACAAGTATAAACTCATAAATTGTTAAGCAACTAAACCAGGAAAGCTTTATAACCTAAAAATCGACTTTGGAAAAAGATAGAACTTTCTATTCAATAATAACTGGTACCTGCCATACAAAGGTGGTTCTCATGGCTCGGTAACTTTGCTGAGATTAATCAAAACTGATGGGATTGGCAAAGCCTGATGGTCGTGAGGACAGTTACTCAATGATGACATTGGGTGGCGGTTGCGCTATATCGTGAGCTAACAGAAGTTGAAAATATGGACCACTGAATTCTGACCCAGTGGCTTGATGGTAACGTGCTGGCCACGGAACCTGGAGGTTGCGGGTTCGACTCCTGACGAGGTCGTGGGTGCGCACTGCTGAGGAGTCTCATACTAGGACGAGAAGGCTGTCCAGTGCTCCCAGGTTTCCTCTGTTCCTCCAGCTGATGTCAGTCTACAATTAATAATAACTTGAAACAAACTTTTAACTCATTTTATATCAGGCATTACCATGTCAGAATGTTCACTGTCAACTTCAACGAGTTCAGACGACAAGTGGTTGAAGTTTCTGAACAGGAGTTTTTCAAATTCTTTTTACTTACTATTACCAAATCTCAACTTTCATTTAACGGTTGCACAGATCTTGAGAATTTCTACTTGATCCTCTGAGGTAAAGGTGGTAAATTTGTAGCACTAAAAATCTATGAGAAAGACAGTTTTAGGCATTTTATACTGTTTGTTGTTTAGACACACTTATTGGTTAAAATCAGAGCTACATAAAAGCTTTTCTTCCATTTCTACGCTGAGGCAATCGTCACCTTTTTGGTTCAGTTTTGTTAGTGAAACATTTGTGAATTTCATCTGCTTTTCTGAGCGGAAACTTTATTGCCAGAAACACAGTGATTACGAATTCAACAGAGGTTACTAACAACTTCAAGGGATATATTTCCAAGAATATAATCAGTCCTACTGATCTTGGTGACTGGCAGAGGAATCCAGGATGCACGTTTCTTCCTATTTCGAACTTATCAGTTGGATGTACCTGCAAGCGACTGAGTGATATTGTTCCTATCGAAGCGTGAACCCAATATCCATTACTCTAAACATCATAGCGGTATCCACTAAGCCACTTGGTCACGATCGCCTCCCTTGTGCAACGGATATCAGTTGTTGTTATGATACTTGTGATTCCCCAGTTGTTATACAGGGCTGAATTGCTCGACTTCTGTTGACAGATGGGCTCCTATGTGGATACCTCGCTACTGCGGAATATTCATTATGTTATAGTGATCTTGGTGACTAGCAGCGGAGAACTGAAGGTGTCATAACAATTATAATCAGTTCCACTTATTTTCCTGAATAGTCGGTACGTATTTGATCTCAGAGTTCCACAAACAACAGTCAAAATAATCACAATGTATTTGAGTCTACAAGTGGTCAGGATACATTCCACACCTTCCTAACTGTTGTTAAACAGCTTAAGACACATGATGATTTGCTGGCGCGCCAACAATTTAAAGTCGACTTAACAGTGAAGAGATATCTGAAGTAAAAATATTCACATACAATGGATCTGTGGCTAATAAACTTTTCACTAACTAGTCATATATCCTAGCCAGTGGAATACCATCAGAAGATCCAAGTGATGAAAGGATGTACACAATCAGTTAAACTTTTGTCAACCGGGTTGCAGCTGTGAGAAACACTCAACGTATGTTGATTGATCAAAACTGAAGTCTGAAATTATTTCAGAAAGTGGTTGTTTGAATGCATTATAAGTTGTCGCTTCATTACTATGATTTTGATTCAAGCAGATGAGATCATTGTCAAACACAAACATCACATCATTTTTGAAGTAAATATACTACCGATAACTGATAGGGTTTCAGTGAGTGTAAACCAGCCATTGTAGAGGTTGTCAGACACCAGTTTAATAGTTTAGTAATAGTTATTTTGAAGGAGCAAGAGCTTCTTCAAGGTTGCAAATGCATCTTACTGATCAGCACCAAAACATATAAGTGTAGAACTTTACTTTCATTTCAGAAAACAGTCCAATTCTGTTGCGCTAATCCACTTAGTTCAGTAGTCATTAAATGCTACTCCATGATAGATGGAATTTGACTAGTAATTGGTGGTAAACTGGTAATTCGGATATCACATCATGGCCACCTGGTTCAGATTTTTGAAGCTATTTCAAACACAAAATTTATCCTTTGCCTAAAGAACGAATGTCTTCTAATCGTCCACAACTTAATTCACCTAATGTACCATCTTTCAATAACGGCTGTCAAATGCAGTTTGGTATATGGATCTGTCTGTATCCTTTTTCTTTCCTGTTATCAACCACGTTCCCTTATCAAACCTGTGAGAGCTGTTTTGTCCTAGTATTGGACTCCTCAGCAGTGCGCATTTATAATGCTACCAGGGATCAATGGTAACCTACTGGTAGCGAAACCTGTCAGAGACTGAAGGAGGCTGAGCAAGTAAGTACAACGCAATCATATGTTATTAAACGATGTCATTTCATGGTCGACAGTTCTAACCCAATTTTATCTAACAAAGTATGTATATCACTTTGTTATCATTAAGATAAAACACATATTCGTCTTCATCTTCCACAGACGTTCAAAAGTATTGTAGTCAAGTTTAGTGTTCATCAGCATTCAGCATAGATGAGAAGAATATGCAGTGTTGTTTAGCTGTTAAAAGCTAGGCGGATAGGCTGTATTTCCGCTCAGTGATTTTTTCACACTTTAGTTAGAAACTAACTGTACCTGGTTATTACCTTACCATTCAAAAGTTTTTGCAGAAAAGTGTTAAAATTATATTTTGAACCCACATAGTTGAATTAATCGAATGCTAAATAACTCCTAACTCGCTAGAGGATATTTTTGGGCTACTTAGCAATAGTATGATGTGATAAGCTGACTGTATTTAAACTTTCATACATACAGATGTTCACTTTAGGCACGTTCAAAAGACTGTGAAAGTCGAGAATATTACATACTAAAACAGATGAGAGTTGATGATGGAATCATTCTTAATCTTTTTTCAGAATCTAAATTAGCTGAAATGCATGCGTCAAATTGTCTGGAAATCATTTGCTATGAAAGCGATCAACTAGGCATACCACGCTATTACCAAGTAGTCTATGGATTTCCTTCAGTCAATTAAAAAGCACCTAAATACTCCTAAAGTCTTTATTTCTTCCAACTACATTGATCCAATAAATTCGATGAAAATCAGGAAATATTACCTACTACCCACTGAATAGATAAGCTACTTGTTCAAGCCTTTCTGGTCTAATCTTGACTCACTAAAACCAGATAAGAAACTCAGCTGACCAACCACTGGTTAAACTGCCTAGGGTGACATTAATACAAAGACTACGATATTTATATGGAATAATAGTAGAGGATTTTCAACTTTTTAAATGCCAATCTATTTACAAGTATTTATGACAAGAAATATAAGTACCGATTGGAGCGAATCATAACCAACTATGATGATTCGGCTGAAACAGTCTTCACCTAGAATACAGGATAAGTCAGTTCATCCGTTTGTACTATTGTTACTTTTTATGTAGTCCATAGATTCCTAAACAGACTACTGCTTCAAAATTTCTTCTTCTGTCCTCTCAAACTGTGTTGTACATATCACAGCATCCTTTATAAACTTAAACTTTGAGATCTAATCATTTTCATACTCATAAATCTGTACATGTAAATCTAACATTTTCCGATATTAAGAATGGATATTGGCTGGCACTGGAATGTACGATGTGCATTCCCTTCTCCTTAGGACTCGTCAGTTAAAGTCCCCTGCCTCCCAATAAGAGATTCCACTCCCTCCCTTGAGATGTAAACCTAGTATCCTTTGTCGTTTCAAATATTAGAGCCTTGTCCACTGAAATACTGAGTTGCCACAGTCACTCCTTCTGGTTGTTGATTCTGTCCAAACCAATCAGAAACAGGAAATAACAAGTTCTGATATCCATTAACCTCCCAATTCTACATCCCACACACATAGTGACCCTTTCCACAGATGATGCTACAATCCATATCACATGCAGACCACAGATGGACTGAATAAACTTTATTTGAAGAGAATTTACTGGTGTTTATAATCATTCACTTTGGATGAACTTTTCTGAGATATTCGACTTAGACCACTTAGTGTTGCACATAACATATTATTATCACTAAATTGGCAGCTTTGAGCAGAGTCCTAGGGAAGTTGAGACGTGGGACACCATCATTCATGTTTATCCTTTCCATAGAGAATTGTCTGATTATTTGATTTTTACAGCTTCCAGTTGTTGTTCAAATTTGTTTGTCTTGAAATCTCATTAATTATGGATATATATATATATATATATATATATATATATATATATATATATATATATATATATATATAAATGCACGTTTGTCCTTTAAACATCAGGAAAGCTTTATCAGAAAACAGTCATTATTTCTGGAGGTAAAGTGTTCTCAGAGTTAGATGGTTTAATCGTCAGGCTTTCTTTATCACTCCAGGCGACATCAACAGTAGCACAAAGTTCAGAAGACAGTGAGTTATAATATTGTTTTCTACAACTGGTGAAGTACCTTGTCTTTATGAGAAAAGAAGAAATATATTTAATGAATACAGTTTGGAAGAATAGCTATCCACGCAAATTTATTAGAAGATGTTTGTCAAACTCGCTGTCAAGCAAAATGTCATCTCTGAAAGCTAGTAGATGGATTGCCTTACCATATAGAGTCTCTAAAATTGCTACCAGATTACCAAAGCCTTTCGGTGTCACTGTTGCTCAAAATTTTGACATTTCACTTCATTGCATGTTATGCAGGCTGAAATACATAATGGTAAAAGCAGACAAATCCAGTATCATCTATAAAATGACCTGCAGCAACTGAGAAAAATGCCTTATCATGTCCATCTATAAAAACATCAACTTGCGTGAAAGACTCACGATATATCTTCGCTAATATCACTGTATGTGAACTAGTTGTGGACATTAATTCAATTGGAAAGGTGCAAAACTGTCGAATGAAGGAAATACGACCAATTTCAGAGAAAATTTAAAAACGTGACACTCAGGTCAGTCAGCAATCAGTACACATACTGACACTGACCCACTCAATAATAAATAGGAGAAACAAAGAGAAAGTCAAAATTCATATCACAAGAACGACAAATCAAAATACGTGTAGAGACAGCCAATTACATCTAAGGTCATCAGGTGAAGCTATTAAGCCACTTGTGGAGAGATTCTTATGACGCATTTTGTCCTGTAGTTTGTGTTGATAATGTTGTCTAGAATGACAATGAAACCTTGGCGACTAGACCATTCAGCTTAGATGACACAACATCACCGAAACCATCCTTCTGGGCAACATATGTATTCCGCATCACCTCATATTAATCTTTGCTCGCTTTTTAGTGTCGTTGATTATCGATCTGTACAATCAGTTTGTTTACCAGGCTCTACAGTAGTAATCTCACTCTAACACATGATTTGATATCATGATTATTAAAAATAGGACTGAAATATATGAAGTAAGCAATCATATTAAAATAGGCATATGGTACCTCTAAACTTTGAAGTTCTTCTTGTAACTCCTCTTCAGTATATTGGAGTTCAAAGTCATCCATTTTACTATTGACTATGTACGAATTCCTTTAAAATTCCATATAAAAGGGTAATCAATCCAGAAGTAACAGTTTAAAAGTAACTTACGCACGTTTCTGAAGGTTTCTTAATGACTTCATTCCAATTTTTAATGATTCAATAACTTTATCATTTGTTTGTTTACAGTCTAACAATTCTAAATTTTCATCTATTTTACATAACGATGCATCGAATTGAGTAAGTTCACTTTCAAGTTCTTTTCTTTTACGCAAGGCTTTCAATGATACTAGAATCAGTATGATTTTAAAATCTATTTTACTTACGACTTCCATGACTTCTGATACGCCTTCTGGTCATAGCATCTTTCAATGCTTCTGTTTTACTTGACTGGTCAGTATCATTCCTGAAAATAGCTGAATGATATCCACTGAAGTTTTCAAGGTCATCTTCACATTTTGTTTCATTTTTACCATTCCTCCTGTTTTTGAATTTCAGTAGTTTAGTTAAATGATTCATTGGGACCTGTTAGTTAGCATAAACGGGGGTAGGTTATGATAAAGGGAATCAAAACTGCACCGAAACGTAAGTGTATTATAATAGTTTGGGATAAATAAATATTTTCACACTATTCAATGAAGTAACTGAAGCAGTGAAGATTTTGATTGGTTGTCTGGAAATTGATTATTGATTGGTCACTTCTCCATGCATTACAATGATTAATGACTGCATAAATTGATCTCATTGGTTTGTTGAGAATTGACTGATTATCCGGTAGTTTCTATTAAGAATATGCATCAAATGGAGAATAATGAATGATCGTACTATATGACAAACTGATAGAAGAAAGAAAATGTGTACCATTGGATTTAAACATTACGACTGAATCTTGATATGTTCACCAGGAAGGTGAATAGTTCAGGATATAATCAGTCACAGGTTCTTGAGTATACACTTCTGAAGTGTCCTCAGATAGGACGAAACAGATAACTATTCCTCCCAGGTTTTCAAGAATTCTCTAGATGATTTCAAAGCATGTAATGTGTGAATGTTTCTAATGCACACATCAAATGACCAACTTGTGACTTACCTATCAAGTATATAAGGGTGTGAGAGCTTAATTTTCCTTACCAAGTTTATTAAGGACTGTTCTGATCATTCTTCCACAATGCATAAGGAATCTTAACAGCAGGATTACTAATACAGTAATCTCGACGCACACTTAACAAGGAATTTGTTCATTTATCAGAGTCCATTCGTGTTTATTTTAAATTATCTTTTTGGGAGCGCCATCTTACCAGTTTACTCCTAGTAATCAATGTCAATATTAAGATAGTCAAAATTTATTGTTTCAACTAATTTTGGCAGTTAGTGGGCGACGATAAAGGTGACAAAGATGATGAAGTGTACTTTTTTCTTGATCAAAAACCACAATTTCTAGTAAATAAGCTTGAAGACTATCAAAAAAATAATGAACCTATACAAGAAGATATGCATCTATATGCCTAGAATTCAGTTCTTATTAACGATTTGATAACGGTTTGATTGTACAAATGAAAGCATATGAATACCTACCTCATGTCACTTTAAACCGTATTTACCATTTCATTTGTGCTTGCCAGAAAAAAGTACTTAAGAAGGATAGGAAGTAGGGTTAGCTTCTCATTGTCTAAGATGCATACAGAAAAACCAAAGGTATAAACAAACAAATGAAAACAACATTCCAATTCCTCGCCATTTCATTGACTTCTGACTTCTACTCAATTTCGTTTCACTCTTAGTTAATGTCACACTCGTGGTCATCTGTTCACCAACTTTGTGAGTGGTCATCACTCCAATGCTAAATTCATCATCCAGAATCATCACCTATACCCTCTCACAGATTAAATATGTCATCCCAACAGAATACTTCAAACTCAATTACTACCCTCTCGTGGTATGCTCATGTTTATTCACTTTAATAATCGATTATTGATGACCTGTAAGCAACTGTGGATAATGCAATGAAATATGATGTACACCGAAATATTCTTCCCCGTTCACCCTCATCTTACAAGCCTTACCTATTTAACGTCAACTCAGCGTCACCTGTCAATGTGTCCGCTTCGAATTGGGCATATAAGCATGAAAAGTCTGAAGATATCAGGCCATGGACTCCTACAAACGAAGAAGGTCCTAAATTCCCAGGAATATATCCACACCTCCTCCGTCTGAATCATCCCACTAAGGCTGGTCACCTCTCACATCCATCACTCGACTAACACTGACCACATTGTCACTGTGGTCAGTGAGGTGGCAGGCACCCAGATATTTCAGTTCTCTCAGCTTGCATGTTGCCAGCAGAGATCTGACTAGCTTCATGAGTCAATTGGTGACTGGCTCTGATGACTAATTCCGCAGCCACGATGGATGATGAGAGCTTCATCGTTTGAGGATTTGCAGTTTGACTGCTGGTGCAGTCATGATGGTAGAATTCATCATTGTACCACAACCCAAACCAGATGCATAGGCAGGCACGCTAGCCAATTCAGACCTACTCCGGGTAGGTCAAAGACCATCATTATACCTTGCTTGCATTTGTACACTCTCCCGTGGTCAGATGAAGCACGTCACACATGCTCTGACCAAACAGGTTAGATACCTCAGAGTACTCATAAACATCTATTACCCACGCTAGATAGATTTTTCCACTTCGAAACACTGGGGCTGGATGAAAAGACGATGAATCGGTTCTCAGGTTGCTATCTGTTTGTCATGAGTGGCAACCATGAGAAGGTCCACCGTCACTCAAATAAGCTAGACATCAGAATTTTCCCCAAGCCAGCTATCTGATGAACGATGACTAAATGTACACCATCAACTAGGCATTCACTTATGTCTTTAATTAGGTGATAAGGTATTTATTTACCCCCAAAATATTCTTTCTATTTGCTAACAATCTAGTTCATTTCAATAGGTAAATCAAGAATTAATTGCAAACCAATGAAGTAAGCACTTGTATGCAGGGCAATCATATAAACCGGCTGCTTAGAAGTCAGAATCTGATGTACAGACGTCGTTGAAATAACCAGACATTACAAACAAACTTAACGGACTATCTCACCATAGCTTCGAACCCTATTGTCAAACAGAGTAAATTTCAAATGATGTCTCTTTTGGGTAATCCTCTCTTTGATCAGCCAGGAAGTTTCGATTCAACTGCCTATTCTCAATAAAAGAAGTGAATTCAAACATCACTGTATTATTCTCAAAAATGAAGGGTTGTGATGTTTTTCCTTTAACTACTGTCTAGTTGCAGCACTTTCTGAAGTGCTTTTCTAAAGAGTCATTGAAACTAGAAGCTTGTCTTCACAGCGGTGATTTGATTAGACTTAAAAGGTAGAGTCATATATCAATATCTTCAACACGATAAGAAATGATATGTTAATAACAACCTCATTCCATATTAAATTAAAAGTCATCCTATGAAAAATAGGTGTTCAAATTGATTTAAAGTAGATGGATTGTTTGAGAACTTTATTGGCACAAAAAACCTCTTACTCTACTGATGGATCATAGCATTCCTTTATCGTGCCTCAAATGATATTTTACCGATTATACGTTGGAAATTACACTTGTTAGATTTATTTGAATGGAAGTTGTCAGCTGGACATTGAAACACTTAATTTGTATGTAACTTGTTTGATGGTGATTAGGAGTGGGATCCAGAACGAGATTTTTGTCCTGAGGATCGAGAAGATGGGCATACGCTTGCTGGACCGATGAAAAGACCCCAGAAGAAAATTCGGATCTCGCTGATGATGATTTATTTCTAATGTCATGTAGCACAAACTTGAAGATGTACAGGCAAAAACCAACAAGCTGTTGGAAGAGGCGAGGCGAGACAGCCAAGACGGGACTTGAGGTGAACGTAGAGAAGACAAAGGTGATGAAGATAGCCAAACAACAACAGCATCAACAACAAGTACCAATCACCATTAACGGGAGAAACCTAAAGGATGTAGTCTCCTACAGCTACCTCTCTACCTAGGCATCATCGTTTCAACTACAAGTGGCACACATGAGGATGTCAAAACCAGGATCACCAAAATAAGACAGGCTTTGATTGACCTGAAATCACTGTGGAAATCTGCTGCACTCAGTACAAAGAACAAGATCCGGATTTTTAACACCAATGTCAGTCAAGTCAGTGCTTCTATATGGTTCAAAAACTTGGCGTGTCGCGAAAAGTATTTCCAACAAACTAGAGACATTCATCAACAGCTACCGTCTACGCTCACTCGATACTGAAGATGAAGATCAGATGGCCAGAATAATAGGAATTAGCAACAAGGAACTCTGGCTTGACAAAGAACCAACCAAGAACCGATAGCCCAATAAATATGCAGTGGAAGAAAGTGGAGATGGATTGGGTATACACTGAGAAGACCAGTTGGGGATATCACGCACGAAGCGAATCCCTCGTGTGGAATCCAAATGGGAAACCACCAGATGGGCGTCCGAGGCGAGGGTGTCATGGAGTAGATGGTGTGAGGAAGAAATGAAAGGTTTTAGGCAGTGGTGGAGCTAGGTTCAAAAGACTGCAGAGAAGATAGTGCAACGTAGACGTGCTACTGAATCCATATATTCCACCAGGAACTCAAGGGACAAATAATAATAATAATAAAGTACTTTTCATATTTCTATATATCTTAAGACTTCATTCTTGGGTCAAACGAAGACTACTTATAACTGTGCAATTGTGTATCCTGTTTTGTTTGTCATGCATTGGTTTCTTTTCTTCTTTGAACATATGATCTCCTCTTCCGTTTGCTTTTTATGCCAAATGAACTACTCCTATACTAATGATGGATATTGGCTGATAGTGGATTCTGCAATACCTAGGCGTCCCCTCAGGAGCTCATATACCAAAGGTGGCCTATCATTTCAGTTCAGTCATCAACGGAGGTGCACAAACTATAACACCAAAGGCTATACTACTCCTATATTAATGTTAATGTAGAACTTTTGGATAGTCATCTGTATTGGACTACATTTTGTCGGTAACTGCGATTAACTTCATGACATAGGTGGAAACTGCTTATGGGTTCTATGATATACTTCATCTTCTGTGCTTACAATGGTGTAATAAGCAACTCTAAATTTCACTGTTAGACATCAATATTTTTGTGAATCTGTAATATGACTTCACTTTACTGTAATGCGGCTAAGACAGATTTCCCCTACTTGATTTCTGGATTTTATGAGTGGCTCAGTCATGAAACCGTGAGCTTCGATGAGTGACTGTGATCTACATTATGTTGGTCACCGTTTGTTCATATACGCATAAATTGCAGTTACCTACGAAATATAGTCCAATACAGATGACTATCCAAAAGTTCTACATTAACATTAATATAGGAGTAGTATAGCCTTTGGTGTTATAGTTTGTGCACCTCCGTTGATGACTGAACTGAAATGATAGGCCACCTTTGGTATATGAGCTCCTGAGGGGACGCCTAGGTATTGCAGAATCCACTATCAGCCAATATCCATCATTAGTATAGGAGTAGTTCATTTGGCATAAAAAGCAAACGGAAGAGGAGATCATATGTTCAAAGAAGAAAAGAAACCAATGCATGACAAACAAAACAGGATACACAATTGCACAGTTATAAGTAGTCTTCGTTTGACCCA